CTGTAGTCATTCTGAAGCTGAAGGGACATCTCTGCTGAGCCACACACATCCTGGCCTGGTCTCACTTAGGCAAAGTCACCTGTCCAAAGTCACAATGAATTTCTAGCAGACTTCCTGGTTATAACAGAAAACCTGCCAAGAGTCTAGCTGACATTTTAACCTCCATTCTGACATCTGCAGAATCTCTAAGCAGGCCGGAGAAAGACACAAAGTTCTGTTTAGAAACAACTGATCTGGGGAATGCAGGGAGGTTTTCAGGTGATGGTGGAGAAAATATCCATCATGCCAGGTCTGGGGTCCACAACTAGTTGTGATGGTGTAGACAGCTGCTCCCTGAGCTGTCTTTGTCCAGTGTCTGCTTTGTGCTGGGCTCTGGTAGCACCACCTGAGAGAAAGGTAAGTGAGCAGCCACCTGACATGCACTTCAGTGGAATGATGCCTGTGACTGCAGGACAGTGAGGGGCATAACACACAGCCCATTGGCATTTGTGTGGCATTTTATACCATACGAAACATACTTTGATTAGTCCATTTGATCATTAGTGTAAGTTCCTGTAACAGCCATAATTTCTTATAAAAGCCCTGTTGACATAGCATACCGTCCATCCACCTGAAGTGTACAGCATTCCGAGGCATTTGGAGAGCTGTGCTGCCATCACCGAAATCCATTTCAAAACATTTTCATTACCCTAAAAAAATAGCAGCTATAATGTTTTTGAGCACCACTTACACCAAGTGAGCCAAGTGAATGCTCACAGATCCTGCAGTATGGGAGGTCCCAGGTGTGAAGACAGTTGTGTGGCTGCCTCTGGTGACCAGCTTCTACATGAAATGAGCTGGAGTCCAGACTATGTGGCCTCAGATCCCTCACTTCCCCTCCGTAGAGCTCTCCACCCATGAGAAACAACCCTGCACCTGTGGTGTTCCTTCCTGCACCTCAACTCCTGATGCATCCTTTCTCTGCTGTCCCACAAAGACTGTGGGGAGCAAGACCGTGCACCCTGATGCTCTGCCTTTGCTAGTTTGCCGACCTGTTGCTCTGCAAGCCAGCGGCCCTGCCCAAAAGGAAAGCTGCTTCCTTGGCACTCGTGTGTGGGAATGTGAGGTAGTGGCTTGCACTTCTCTCACCAGGGATGCTCCACCTCCTTGTCCTCATACTTGTCAGGAGCTTTGTGGGAGGGGAGCAGCATCAGTTGTCAGCCATGGGAGACCCAGAGTATGTTATTCCTTTAATACAGAATACAAGTGTGTAAATTTTAGATATGTGCTGACCAGTGTCCAAAGGAGCATTCTGGATCTCTGTGCTGGTGACTTTCCATTTTCTGAATGGAGCTAGCACTGAACAGTGAATCTACAAAAGTGACTCCCTGTAATGGCCAAGGGACTGGTATAGACATGCAGGGAACCTCTCAGGCCTCCAGGGTTCTCAGTGAGGACAAGACAATAACAAAGAACTGGCAGGACACCTCACAACAGTACATATTTTATTAATTTATTTTACATTCCAATCCCAGTTACCCTCTCCCACTCCTCCCACCTCTCATCTGCTCCTTGGAGAGGGTAAGGCCTCCCCTTGGAAGTCTACTAAGTCTGTCCCATCATCTCCTTAAGGCAGGACCAAGGCACCTCTCCACCCCCCACACTCCTGTGCCTAGGCTAAGCAAGGTATCTCTTCATATAGAATGGGCCCCACTAAGTCAGTTTGTGCATTAGAGTTAGATCTTGGACTCACTGCCTCCCAGCAACAACACTGTCACCTATATTAAGGGAGTCTAGTTTGGTCTTATGCAGGTTCCCCATTTGTCAGACTGGAGTCAGTGATCTCTCACTAGCTGGAGTTAGCTGATTCTGTGGGTTTCCCCATCATGGTCATATTATAGGTCCTCTCCCACTTAGATTGTACTCCACGAGCTTGGCCCAATGATTAGTTGTGGATTTCTGCATCTGCTTCCATCTGTTTCTGGAAGAGGGTTCTAGCTTCTCTGGGGTTGTGGATTGTAGGCCGAGCATCTTTTGCTCATGTCTGGTATCCACTTATTAGTGAGTACATACTACTATATTTGTCTTTCTGGTTTTGAGTTACCTCACTCAGGATGGTGTTTTCTAGTTCTGTCCATTTGCCTCTGAATTTTAGTATGTCATTATTTCTTACCACTGAGTAATACTCCATTGTGTAAATATACCACATTTTCTTTAGCCATTCTTCAGTTGAGGAGCATCTAGGCTGTTTCCAATATCTGGCTATTACAAATAATGTTGCTATGAACATAATTGAGCAAATATCCTTGTGGTGTGACTGTGCCTCCTTTGGGAATTTGCCCAACAGTGGTATTACTGGGTAGGTTGATCCCTAATGTTCTGAGAAATTGCCATACTGATTTTCATAGCTGCTACACTTCCACCAGCAATGGAGGAATGTTCCCCTTTCTCTACATCTTATCCAGCATAAGGTGTCATTGGTGTTTTTTATTTTAGCCATTCTGATCAATGTAAGATTTCTCAGAGTGGTTTTGATTTTGCATTTCCTTGATTACTAAAGATGTTGAACATTTCCTTTAAGTGTCTCTTGGCCATTTGAGTTTCTTCTGTTGAGAATCTCTGTTTAGATCTGTAGCCCATATTTTAAATTGGATTATTTAGTAGTTTGATTTCTAGTTTCTTGAGTTCTTTGTATATGAACTTAAAAAAAAAAAAAAGGAAATCCCAGAGAGTCGAAAAATTGGGAGTACTAAGATTCTTTTGTTTGTTTTTGTGTATTGAAAACTTTTAAAAAATAGTTCTAGGGGTCAAAACCAAGACTTTGTACATGCTAGCAAATGCTGTATCAATGAGATGCACACATTTTTTGTTTGTTTTGTGTTTGTATGATGTGTATGTGGGTCCAGGTGCATACCCCCGAATACTTGTGGAGGTAAGGACCACTTTTGGAAGTCAGGTTTTTTTTTTCCTTCTACCATGGGATCCATGATTCAAACTCAGGTCATCATATTCATGTAGTAAATGCTTTAAAATTCTTTTTGAAGTTTTTTGCCTGGTCAATCATACTACCACCATCACTCCCACATATTTTTAAAAAGATAGTCTTGCTACATAGCCTGGGCTATCCTTGAACCTTCTCTGACTCCAGGCTAGCCTTGAAGTCACAGCTACCTTGCTTCAGCTTTCTGGGAGCTGGGATTTCAGACCCAGAAGCATACCTAGTTATGTGGACTAATTTTTGATGGTGTATGCTCATAGAATTCTCTAGAGACTATGGTTACTTATCCAAGCACATGTGTTGTGGATGCAGTCACTCCTTTGAATTACCAAGATGGGCAGAAAATTTTTTTAATAACATTAAAATACAAATACTTCAGGAAGTGATTGGAACAGAAGTATAACTTTTAAGATCTTATATTCTTAGTCTTTAGTTTTTACCCTTTTTGTTCTTTTTTGTTTTCCAAGAGTTTATGATAAACTTCTTAGAAAAAACCACAAAAGTATATTTAGCATTAGGGGGCTGTCGCTGTCTGCGTGGACTGTGTTTACCCAGCAGTGCCTTCAGCCCCTGGGCCACCAGTCTTCCAGGCAGCCCCTGGGCCACCAGTCTTCCAGGCAGGCTCTGAACCTAGTACCATGCATTTATTGACCCTTCATCAGCCTTAAGTAGAGCCAGCACAGATCTTGACACTACATCACTGAGTGTGATGTACGTCTGGAAAAGCCCCAAAGGGGATTATGGTTTTGCTGACAAATATGGCCACTCAGAGTCCCACAATACCATCAGCATCCACTTTCACCCATCGGCTGGTTCATTCTGAGGCCTGTTTCGGTTGGAACCACAGCTTATGAGTCTTCATGAATAGCACTTCCTTAGAGGCCCCCTTCCTCTCTGCCTCCCTCCTAACATCCACAAAAAGTACCTTTAGTGAGTATCTGGTATATGCCCAATTAGGCCAAGAGGTAAAGTTTTAGACCTCAGGTAATCAACTCCTGCTCCTTGGTGGGGACATATGACAGGTCAGAGTACAGACACAATGGGAAAGAAAGACTGACTTGTGATGTCTGGGGAGGCTTTTAATCTGCTCCTTCATCCTTCTAGCTGGTTATTCACTGAGTCACTGACATGTCCTGAACATTATTCTATACCTGGGGAGCCTGGTCACTCAGACCAAGTGCATCTCTGCCCCTGTAGAGCTAAATTATAGTAGAATTGAGATACGATTAACTTACTCAGAGATAAATCTTTAAACTCATGATAAATGCCCTGGCAGAAATAAATGGAATCCTGCAGGAGAGAATAGAGGATAGACTGCTGTGACTGCAGTGAGCTTGGGAGGGCCTTTCCAGCCCCTGATTCAGGAATGAGAAGGGCTCAGCCATTTCATGACTTAGAACATTTCAGAGCCAAGACTAAGGCAGAGAGTCTTCTGCATTCTCGAAGTACGTAGAAGGTCAGAGGGCCCAGTAAGCAATGAGAGTGTTTTGTTGAGGAATAGTGCCTTTGGCCAGAGAGTTGAATGGAGGGTCCTCAAGTCTGTGGCTGGGAAGCTACAGTGGGAAAATATTGGCTGTGGAACTGTGAGCAGGGTGTGTGGGTCAGACCATGAACCTGTTTGGCTGCACTGTGAAGTCATGTCAGGCAGAGTTTAGAGAGCAGAGCAAAGTCCCCAGGGTCCATCCATGCTAGGATGCGCTGTGGATATCCAGAAGGGAGCAACATTCTAGGTCCTGTCTGCCACACCCATTGTGCAATGGAAGCCTATACCTGGGGTGATGCGAGGCTCCTCAGAAGTCTAAATCTATGGCTGTGGCTCTTTTGGAACTGTGTGTTGAGCCAGCTCTGCAGTCAGGGCCACCTTGGGAGTAATTATTTCATTTTCTGAGAAAGAATCTGTTAGGAATTACTAGCGATAATGGTTCATCAGACTGTCTCATGCTGGCATGTGCTGACTCTCCAACAGCTCTGGGAAGAAATTGCCCTACTGATTAATTCTCCACTGTTTTCTTTCTTCTCTCAGAATGGCTATTCAAGTGGACAAGTTCAACTTTGAAAGTGTCTCAGAATCCCCCGGAGAGAAGGAACCCTTGGCAAATCTGAAGCAGCTAGAAGATGAGAGGCAAGAGGCAAGAGGCCTGGAGATCAGCAGCAAGCTGGACATATGCTGGAGAATTCTATCCTTTTCAGTGTCCATCACCCTCGGGGAGTGAGAGGCGCTTAATATGTACTGAGTTTCAACTACAGACAGCTCTAAATGCCATAGCAGGATGTGGACCATAGAGCTGGCATTTCCTCAGCCCTGTCACACTTGGAGGCCCCAGTTAATGAAGTATTGATTCTGAGGGGATAAAGGTCTTATTGGGGCCAGTGGTGGTCCTGACTTTGGATCTTTTGTTTCTTTTGAGTGTTGCTATTCATGATAGTGACAAGTCGTAATGGCTGCCAACCGGTACAGGGCTTGAGCCACACTCTGACTGGCAGTGGAGAATGTGGATGCAGTTGTCTGGGAGCCAAAATGGAGTTGTACGGCTAAGTAAGATGTAGAGAAACTTTGTAAAAAGAGTGACTCTGTGGAGTGTGTTGTGAAAAAGGAAAGTCGTCTAAATGCCTGCACCCACACAGGCATGTGATCAGAGTTCAGCTGAGTGGGAGGAAGGATCCTGAGTGCATGTTAGTCTCGGCAGAGTATCCATATGGTGTGGCAGACATTTCAGGGTACTGTTAGCAGTGGAAGGTTATCAGAGGGCCAAAGGTAGAAATGGAGAATGTCGCTGCCAGGAAAAGGCACATCTAATATGGGTTTCCTCCCATCATCTCCTTTGGAAGCAGACTCTGTGGATATGGTCAGACTGTGCATCTGGCTAGAAAATTCCAGAAGATTTAACCATCGAGCTTTGTTTGTGCTGGAGATTGTGCTGAGTGCTAGGGACAGTGTGATGAGCATTGTCAGACCTGTGAAATGGTGTGTTGGCGCCTTCACCGCCAACAGAAAAGCTGTGGCTTAGTTGCCCCACTGTAGGTGCAGGATGGCCAAGTGAAGTGATTTGAGGTAAAACTGGGCTCCTTCTCTAGAGCCAGGCTACAGAGACAATCTATGGCTACTATCCCTCATTTCCTACTGCCTTGTGTATATTGAAAAATCTCCCACCATAGACCTTTCTCGAGTGTGAGGTCTCACATTTTAAAGGCTATCCTTCTGAGCAGGGTGGCTGAGAGCAGCTGGTGCCCTGCCTGCATGCCACTCAGAGTACCTGTGCTGGTCTGGCAGGCACTAGGCAGCCTATGCAGGCTGGCAGGGTCACCAGGCTTACTTGGAGTTTCACAGCCGTGTAAGGATTTTAGTCACAGAGCCCTGGGCATGACTGATTTCAGACAGCACAACCCACCTGAGTCTGTGCTGTGTTTCGTCCCGCCCTCTGGGACTGCCACTTTCCACAAGGAGAGACACTAACCCTGACCCTGTCCCCTCTTGATGCTGAGATGGGAGTGAGGCTGCTCTGCCAAGCAGCTCAGGCTCTTCTTCAGTCTTTCCAATCGTCTTCTCCATGGTGCTTCTCAATGGAGCCCTGTCTTCTCATCTCCTGAAAAACTCTAACCCTCTTTAAATGAACTCTTTTAAGACCCAGTATGCTACATTTTTTGTAATAGTCAGTCACGCTTGGAGAAATAGTTTTATCTAAATGAATTCTAATACAAACAGCCCCTGTCATCAGTATAGCTGATTCCTTGATCATCAAAGGTGAAATGCAGGGAATCATTTGGTAGCTGCCTCTAGGGAATTCAGCTATCAGAGCTGTTTGTAGTAACTTGGCTCAGGAATACTTCATCTTACACAGCACAGCACAGCACAGCACAGCACAGCACAGCACAGTACAGAGGCTTGGTAGCTGGAGGGAAGCCTGGCTGGATATTCCGTCAAATAACTCCTGCCGTTTGACCCTTGCTGGGCAGGGGGAGGAGGTGGAATGGTCACAGATTAGGTTGCTAGCCCCCACCCATCTGAATAAGATGGCTGTGTGTTCCTTAGAATCAGGGTGGACACATGGACAGTGTGGACTTCAGATCTGGCCAGCTGGAGAGTGTGTGAAAGGACATTGCATGGGCATCATGACAAGCCTCTGTGTGCACATGAGCTACTGTGCACTGCGCTTATGTGACTGGGCATGTGTTGAGCAAGCACACAGTTTGTGTGCTCTTAGCACTCACAAGATGTCAGATGTCGATCCGATCCACACACATAGATTGCTTAATTTATTTAGGTTACACACACCACACACTGTGCCATTCCTGCAAATGCTGTAATACTGAGCTAATGTGTAGCTGTAAAAATCCATTCAATTCTCAGATAAAGGACATACCAGATATTGAAGTGACAAGGACAAATACTGTACTTGATCTTAGCCAGAAGTCCTAGAGGCAGGACAGAACGGTTGATTTTTGTAGTAGCTTTCTGATGTAGTTTTCTCCCTTGACCACCAATGAGAAAAACGTGGTCCATGAGGCTATTTCACCTGCTCAAAGGTCACCTGGCTTGTACACAATCAGCTGGGACTCAGGCTGCCCTTAGTGCTATGCTTTGAGCTCCACCTAGGAGTAATGTCTAGGCTTCCTCTTCTGCCATGGCCTTCCCACTAACCACACTGTGCAGAGGAACTGTTGAGATGGCCACATTACTTGGACAAACTGATAGCGAGTACCTAACCTGCCTGCCCTCCATTCATTTCACCATCTCTTTTCATTGGAGCTCTAGAATGGTCCTAAGAACAAGACTTGCTGCAGTGAACCAGTTACAGACCTCTCTGGATCTCTCCCCAGACAGCATGTCCATTGTGGGTGTTTTCTGTCCAGTCCTGTCACTGGCATGGGGAGCTCTGCTAAGATGCCAGGGTACTTACCGAGATGAGAAAAATGGCATCAGTGTTTAGAAGTTGATGATACAAATTAGAAAGTCAAGTAAGAGGCTTGCTAATCATTTACAGAGGTCTCTCCAATATTATAATTTCTATCTATGACAATTTGCTTGTTTACTTGAGCTCTCATAGGGTTGGGCTGCAACCTTTTACTTGTAGTCCTTTACCCAAGAGCTGGTACATGAGATGGACCATATTTGTCAAGTAGGCTGGTCTTAAATAGTGAGGCATCCAAGCTCTTGGGAAACCCTTTGGAAGGTACTGAATCTGAATGACTGTGGGCTGCTGGAGAGGACCACCTGACTCGTGAGATTCACTCCTATTTTGGAAAATTTTCAGGGAAAGTCTTAACACTCCCACAGAGTGTGGAGAAAACCTCTCTAAGCACAGGGATTGCCTTTGACGGGGAGGTGTCATGCTTCAGCACCACGGAGAGCTCCAGCACCATGCCTGGCTTTCCCCAGGCTGGAAAGCTCTGACAGGTCAGGATGCTGTCTCAGCTGTTTGCAAGCACAGGCCTTGAAGGGACCCAGCCTGTGGGGCAGAGGTATCCTCACAGTCAAACAGAGGCTTTGATCCCTGGGTTCCAGTTTATAGTGAAGTACTCACACAGTGTGTCATCTAGGAGTGTGTAGACCAGGGTACAGACTGAAGGCTCTAGGGTCATCCTGCTTGGGTTCAAAACCTCAACCTTCCACTTTCTAACACCGAAACCCTCCTGTTCCCTCCACAAGCCTGAGAATTTTGTGTGTGGAGGGGTTGTTTTAAATCTGTGGAGTGGAAATACATAGTGACTACCACTGTAATCCCAGCATTCAGAAGGCTGAGAAGGCTGAAGCAGGAGGATTGCCATGTCTTTAAGGTCAACTGGGATTACAGAGTGAGACTAGACTACAGAGTAAGGCTATCTCTTAAAAAAAAAAAGAAAGAAAAAATGGGTGGGGGACACAAAACAATCAAAAAATAGCAGAGAGGGTGAATCTGACCAAGTGATTAATATATACTATATACATATATGAAAAGCAGCAACTTAGAAATAACAGTCCTTGTCTGCAACCAACATGTTCTGAAATCCAAATTTGAAATTTTTATCAGACTATGCATGGCAGATGCTTACCATAGGTCCCTTCCCATAGGAAGCACCTTAGAAATTTCTCTACAGGAGTATTAGTGATTTTTGTCACCATCATAATTTATTTATCTCTCTCCCCAGATGCCAAGATGTGCACATTAAGAAGTAGCTCCTGCCATCTTCACTGTATTGCTGCATCATGGGTAGGGACCTTGGCTGACCAGCTTGGCCACTTATGGTTCAGACTCAGGTACCAGACATCTTGGGTGGCTTTTAGGACTGCAAGGAAGAGGCTGTACACACAGGGATCAGCTCTATTACCTCAGCAGTACCCTTTATGGCTCATATCTGAAAGCAAATGAATTCAGAAGCAGGTAGAATGGTTGCCAAAGGCCAGTGCCACTGGGAAGGTTTTCTAGGTGCTCTCTGTGGGCCTTGTGCCATCACTAAGCAGCCTAGCACCTAGTTATTGAACCCCCTGACTTCTAGTTCTTCAGGTGTAAGGGCCTCATTCATCTGATTAGAAGTAATGGATAACACTCTTATAGCTCCTACCAGTGCCCTTCCCCATTGACATTCACCAAGCCCCAGTGTAGTGGCTCTGGGTATTTCCTCCCCCAGGACTTGATACCTACCCAGGGAATAAGTTCTATGAAAATGCAAACCCAAACCAAAAACTGTAATTATGCTCTTTCTTCCAGTCCCATGAACTTTGTGTCTTTGTTTAGAGTGAATCACAAAATACCCAGCAGGCATTTGGTCAGGGGCTAGGAAAGAGGAGAGCTCTTTGTTGTGTTCTTTGTTTACTTATTTCTTTTGTTTGTTTGTTTGTTTGGTTAGTTGGTTTTGGTTTCTTGAGACAGGGTCTCACTATGTAGCCCAGGCAGGCCTGGAAGAATTCTTGATTCTCCTGCCTCAGCCTCCCAAGTACTGAGATTGCCAACAGGGGTCTACCACCACCCCTGATTTAGAGGTTACGTTTGATCGTTTTTGCAAGCAAGTCTATCACAAAATCGTAGCAGAGCATGAGTGGTCACAGGAATACTTCTGGCCTCTACATTCATATTCTATGGCTGGGAAATCCCACATGGGGTAACTGCTGGAGGCTACATAAGGGGTTCACTACAGTGATGGCACCCTCAGCTAAACTGTTGATTAGAATAGCTTGGGGTAGCTAGGAAAAATTGACTCAGTAGTGAACTATTCTCAGGAAGAGTGATGCCACCTCAGAGCAATTGAGTTGTGTGTATAGTGACCTTGGTGTCCTTTAAGCCAGCAGTGACCAGCAGTACAGCTTCCTAAAGAATCTCTGAACACCACCCCTCCCCCTCCTACCCCAAGGGAGTTTCAGTTTGCATGGTCTGGTGGGAAGTACTCTTTGCTGCTGCTTTTTGGGCTCCTGCCTCTGCTTCTGGGCCCCTCCTCTGTGCCTGTCTCCCTCCAGTCCCTTCCAGAGACTTGGCTCAGATGGCCCTTCCGCTGGGCAAGTTCCCAGTCTCTGCACCTGGTTTCAGCCCCTCATCCTCCCCAGCTCCTTCCCTTAATTGCAGAGTCCCTTCCTTCCGTCAGCATGTTTTTATTTATCTTTAATTTACCATCTTAACCATGGCGAAGCCTACAGCTCACCCACGTGCATCTTGTGAGCTTCTCACATTCTCAGATTGGAACTAGACCCAGCACCTCAAAACCCTGACAGCCAGGGATGGGGTTAAGGACGAGGGATTTGAGGTTTTGTCTATGGATATGACTACTGGGTACCTTGTTTGTCCCTTTGTCCCTGGCTTCTCTTTGTCTTCAAGGGACATGCACATAATGTGTCAGACTTCCTTTCTTTGAAGGATGAATGACATTTGATTGTGCAGACGGACTGCATTCTTTTTATTTAATAATATGAGAGTGGACACTTGAAACGTTTCCACCTTTTGGCACTGTGAGCAGCCCTGCTGGGAACATGGCGTACATCTTTTTATTTACGTTCTGGCTTTGGCTCATTCAGGTGAACATGTGACCGTACTGGGGTTGCTGGAGGTTAGTGTTTTCTGTTTGCAAGACCATATCTCTTTTATGCCTGTAACCTCCCAGATTTAGCTTGCAGTCCTAGTTCAGTATCCCTAACTGCCCTATCTGTTCCTCCTTGTTGAACTAACGGGGTGAATCCTCACTCCCAGGACTTTTGCAGGACCAAGCAAGAGGTTCTTGCAGAGTGCATTGCAGAGTGCTGGCCAATAATAACAACACTTGAGCAAACCTGCCCTGGATGGTAATGAGATGGAGCGACAGCATGTGGAGGGCTCTTCTTAAGAGAGAATTATGTGTGTGGGGTGGGGGGAGAAAAAACAACACCTTTGCTGGCTGGTGCTGGAAGAGAGGGGATCCCTCAGGGGGTAGAGACAGCAAAACAGTGGCTCACTCCCTGAAGCAAGGCAAGGAAGGGACTCCCCAGAGGGGAGGGAAGCAGGGCCTTCCTGACAACAGGTGCATCTGTGTCCTTCTCAGGATCCTGTGAAGCTACAAGTGTTCTTGTCATCATGCTGCAGATGATGAAGCCAACTCAGGGTGATTTTTGTTGTTGTTGTGTTTTTGTCCAAAGTTCATGAGAGACAGTGACAGAATTCAAAACCTCAAAGTTAGGCGAATCTGTGGAGATAGCTCCAGGCTTTGCCCAGGCTGAGACGTGGCCCTGTGCTGCCCACCTGGGTGCTTGCCCACTGGCTCCCATTTACACTGGGCACTGTTAGTGGGGCGTGGCACTGTTGTGGGCCTCAGGGGCTCACAAGCTGGTGGTGAAGCCCAGATGTAGTGTGTCTTGGAAGAGGACACAGGAGAACCTTCTGAACAGAGATGGCTTGGAAACACTTCCTAGAGGAAGTGGGATCAAAGAGAAGTTGAAGGAAGGACCAAACGAGGAAGGAGACACAGGGGATAGACAGATAGGGCATCATGTGGCACACATAGGGGTTGGCAAGGCTCCCTAGGAATCATGGGGGCTAGTCTAGCATCATCCCAGTCAATTCTGGTCTAGCCATGCTTTCTGGGCAGCCCTAGTTTGTGTAGTTTTCCCTAAACACCTAGTGGAGCTGCTGGCTTCAGAGATGTACTGGTCTGAGACCTGAGATCATGAGCCCCCTTTACTTTCTGGCCCTGCCTCTTACTCAGTCCTGCACATCGGCCCCTTTGAGCCTCTACTTACAAGGTGTCCTCACACCACCGTTCCCGGACTTGGCTCAATGTCAAACCCTTCCTGGCATCTCTGTACCCACTGCCTCCCTGCCTGTCTCACTTGGGACAAGGGGCATGTTTGCTAAACAGAATGGATTTGCCAGAAGGAAGTAGGAAGTGAACTTTCCTTCTATTTCTAATTGTTAGTAAACGTTAGGAGCTCAGTTTCCCCATTTGCTTTTCGCTTGAGTGTGGTGTGGTGACTTTGATTTCGAGAGAGGCGGGAGGCTTGCAGACCTGCTGAGAGCTCTCCCAGCAGCTCCTGGTATTTGTCTGCTGTCTGCACTTCTAAGCCGTGATTTCTTCATCCTCTGATGCTTGCTGCGAGACTTCATGACTTACTCAATTATGAACTCACTGGAGAGAGCATGTTCACAATAATGTATGCAATTACATCGAGATGTATAACACACAAAACACGAAACCAGCATGAACCCAGTATGATTCGAGAAACACAGGCTTGTCCTGAACAGTCAACCACAGTTTGTGTATTTTATTAAGGAAAAATAGCCTCCAATTTTGACTTGGTTCCCCCAGCAAGAACCATTGTTGGGACAAGACTATCCTGGAGCTCTTTCTTCCTTCTAGAACAGTCACTTGTTTGAGTGTATATATACATGAAGGGAGGGGAGTTGCTGTGTTTCTATGCCTGGTGGGCTCTCAGCATGATGCCTTCACCGTTGGGTAGACAACCACTTGAACAGAGGGGAGACCCATTTAATTAAGACTGTTCTCATCTGGTGGTGTATCTGTCTAGAATTTTCTCTGGCTCCTCCAGTTCTGTGGCTTAGCAGGAGCTAAGTTTTCCTTGACTGAAGCTTACCCATCCCTGAAGCGCAGCGGTGAGGCGAGTGTGGAGGGCCTCCTGAACCAGCTCGTCCTGGAGCACCTGCAGCTGGCGCCTCTGCAGTGGGGTGAGTACAGTGCCCCTCTGGCTTCCAGGAGGGTGGGCAGGAGGGCCCCTGTGACCGCCTCAGGAAATCACAGAGAAAGGAGTTCACTTCTCCATATGCAGCCTCTGCAGGCAGCCCGCTCAGCACCAAGTAGGTCTTTCCAGGCCCTCTTCTCCAATGGCGATTGAGTTTGAAAATGTTGGTAGCCTTTAGTTATGTGGGTTGGTAGGATGGGATGAGGTCATCTTCCTTCTTGCTCTTCTACTATGTTCCTGGACTGAGCTTTATGGATTCCTATGCTGGGCATGGACAGTCTATTTGGTGAACTCCTTATCTGTCTGGTGCTTATCCTGTGGGAGGCCACCATCATTCAACCCAGCCCTGTTGATAGGGTTGTGTGTTCCTTTTGCAACCCTGGATGCTGACCTAAGCTCATGCCTTTCTAAGTATTTCTCCCAGGTATCGTGGAGCAGACACCTGTGCTTTGGCTGTAATGTGGTTCTTGCTCTCTGGAAGTGATCTGATCAGATTGTTGGAGTCATCTGCAAACAGTTGTTACCTCTTTCTTCTTCCTTTCCACTCAACAAATTGCCCTGCCCCCTCCTAGACTCTCCCTGGTGTCTGTGTAGGACCAATCAACTTCCAGGGATATATGGAAGACTCTCAAGAAAATTTGTGTCCTTAGAAATCAGTGGGAGAAAGAGAAAGGGGTCAGAGGAGGCCCTGATAATTGGGGTCACCATGTTTTCCCTCAACCAGTGGTTCAGAGTTGGCTCAAAAGCCACCATCTTTCAGTGCCCATTCATGGAGAAGTTGAGAGTGTTTTTCTTTTGTGTGTGTGTGGATGTGGGGGCTTCTGCATGGTTGAGGGAAAAGTTTAGCAGATTGGATGTGACAGTTTTTGCATAATTGGCAGGAAGGTCAAAGTGCCACTGTTCAAACTATATTGTCTGAGAAGCTATATACTGGAAACTCAAGGACAGTTTCATTAGGTGGCTGTCATCTCATTGTGAGGCTGGGGAATGGCGCTGTGCCCCCAAAGCCTGTTCACGAGTATATAGGGCAGTATTGCTCCACTTCCCCAAGTTGCTGGGCAGCTCAATTGACTTGAATGGTGTGTCGTCACCTTCTTCCTTTGCAAGGCCTGCTGGATATAGAGGTTGAATGGTAGATTTCCTAACCCCAGAAGTCCATGTGGTAACCTGTTTCTGTCATCTTACTAAGGCTTAAGCTAGAGCCCGTAAGTCCACCAATGAAATTGAAGTAAGATTTCCTTTCCTATGTAACATCATCCCAAAGGAACACTCAAGGGAAGGAGCTGTTATCTGCTTCGATGCCTCCTGTGAACTGCGATCATCCATGGCGGGACCCCAGGAGAGTTCTTGGCAGATGGTCAAGTCCCTTCCACTTGGAAGTTGAGAAGGTCTGGTTTGGCCATTGTGAGCACATGTCACATGCACCAGAATATGGACAGATACATAAGTACTGACATTTATCCGGAACACTATATGGCTTCCAGAAGTAATGCTAGGAACCAACATACCTCTGGAAGCCTAGAGGGGTCGTTTGTGAGGTGAGGGGTCAAGTGGTATTATGGAGAGGTGATGATCCTGGTATTAGAGGGGTAAGTCATTGGCAGAGTTGGTTTGTCTTTAGTCTTGGAAAGTCCAAGTGGGCTTAAACCACCAGGACCCAAGCCATGTGATGGAATAAGAGAGAAAGCCACTATTGTCTGCTCCCTCACAGCTGGTCATATCCAACCCTGTGTTTGTCTCTCAGGCTGCCAGTAACACATGGTGGGACAGGGTCTTCATCCCAGTTTTAAACCACTTCTCTCTAGCCATATCTGTCACCTGTACAGAGCCAACTAGCTCAGACCTGTATCCAGGGTCCTGAGGGTGATCTTGACTCTCATGCCTTCCTCAGAGGATGAACTGAGGTCACAGCTCCCTCAGGAGCTGAACCCACATGGCTTGCTGGAGGTCAGGTAAGACCACACAGGCTGTTCCAGGCCTGAGCAGTGAGAATCCTTAGTGAAGGTTCCATGGCCACTTTAAAAGGAACAGGTCATTGTTTAGTAGTAACTAACTCTAACCCTAACCCTAACCCTCTAAGTAGTACGTATCCTAACTACTTGGCAGGGAGTGAGGGCTTTGTGTAGAGAGCTTCAGTAACCTCAGGAACTGCAGGGGGCTCAGCAGGTACTGTCTTGTCTCCCTTGGCTCTTAACAGCTGGGAGGGAGCAAATTAGCACAGTCCTTTCTTCCCCAAATCTTGACCTCTTAATGGTATTACTTTGTGATTGTTCTCTGTTCTCAGAGTAGAAAGCAAAAGAAAAATCCAGAAAGTTTAGGTAAAGAAAAACATTCTCTCTTATCCCCAAACAACCTCTATTTCAGTTTTGTACATTCCCAAGTCATTTCATGATTCCCCGGTTTTAATTTTGTTTATATAAATGACTATGCCATCATTGTACTTTCCTATCCTTTTTCAAGCTTGACAAAAACATAAACAGTTCCTACATTATAAACAAGCCTTACACATATTGTTAAAGGCTGAGCTATTCATCAAATGGGGGGAAGATAATTTAATACTTGTTCTGTTGGTAAACATGGAGATCACTCAAAATGTTTTCCCCGATAAGATAAAAGTCACATGTCCCACTTTTAAGAGTCTTCTGTTTGGGAGTGTTGCAGCTTCAGTGTGGGTTTCTGGAAGTTGCTGGTGCTTTAGGAGGTTTTGGCAGAGAGCAAAGCTAAGCTATGGACTTTTGTCTGTGTTGGTGACAGCAGTGTCAGGCGCAGGCAGGCATGGTGTCACCACAGAGCCAGGAGACATGGGTTTTCATTCTGGCTCTGCCACTTCCCGGTGGTGAGTTACACATGACTTGGGCTGTTGGCCAGGTTCCTTGTGCCTCAGTTTCCTCATCTGTAATGCCAAAGGCACCACTATTCTGTGTGAGAGGAGTGCTGTCATCCCAGAGGAGAGAAGTCTCCTGACTAGTTCTGAGCAGGGGGCCACTGACTTGCTGTTCTTATCTTAGCTGTAGTGAATGCAGATGTCCCCAATTGTTTGCCTTACTCCTGGTGTGTGCTAGCTGCAGACTTGGACTGCAGGGCTTCATCTGCAGAGGAGCTGCAGCAAGACAAGACTCAGGGAAAGCAAGGCCACAGGCTGGACCAGACTCACAAGAGGACACTGAATTCAAAATGAGACTAGTGCTTCCAGGATGCTTTCTGTCTCAGTTCCTGGATCCATCCCTGCTTCCCTACCTCCCTCCCCTCTCTAACTCTCTCAGAGAGAGAGAGAGAGAGAGAGAGAGAGAGAGAGAGAGAGAGAGGGAGGGAGGGAGGGAGGGAGGGAGGGAGGGAGAGAGAGAGAGAGAGAGAGAGAGAGAGAGAGAGAGAGAGAGAGAGAGAGAGAGAGAGAGAGAGAGAGAGAGAGAGAGAGAAAGAGAGAGAATGCATATATTAATCCAGTCCTCTGTGTGGAGGAGGAGGACTGGGCCCATCTGAGGATCTTGTAGAAACCAGTATGCTGTCTGTCTGTCTATCCTGAAGACCATCATTAGGCATTTCCATAGATACCCAGTAGTGGTGACTAATAGGCTAAGCTATTTGCCACACTGATTGGAATGTCCCACTGCTGTGCCACCCACTAACTCCTCCTTCCACTGATTCTTGTCTTTGTAGAGCTCTCTGTGTCTTCTGAGATGCCAGTGATTGGTCTGTGTAGTCTCTCTGGGCCTGCAGGGAATACAGATTAGGGCTGCACTGCATTGCAAAAAGTGGGTATTTCCAGCTCTCCATCGTCAGACAGCGTCCCTGCAGACTCACGTGTGTGCTGAGCTCCGAGTTCTGCCCTGAGGGCAACAACTAGGAGCAGGGATACTTAGTGCCAGTCTAGGTAGCAGCAGACCCTGGGGATTTCAGGAGGGACACTACCCTGCCTTGCCTCAGAGAGCGTGGTGCACCTTCACATTTACAGATCACAGCTCCACATCCCAGCTCTTCCTCACACGCATTTCTCAATGCCAGCACAAATCTCCAAGGTCATCATTACTGTTCCTTCAAACAAACAGAAATAGACTCAGAGGGGGCTCGTTCTGCCTCAGATCATCTGGAGGGTATTGATTCCTGAGTTGATGGGCTCCTCTTGGCCTTCCATGAAAACCTATTGACCATTGCTCAAGAGTAGTAGGTGTCTCCGTGCGTGCTTGGAACCCATCCCTGTTTAGCAGACATCTTCTTTCTGATGGCGGTTGGGGACCCAGGTTGGTCCCCTAATTGACCACATGCCAGCGAATGCTAGCCAGGGAGCTGGCACAAAGGGCTCTGAAAGCAGCAAACAGAGGTAGAGCTGGAGCTGGATCCCCAGTGACCACGCTGAAAACGAGGCAGCAGGGTGCCGGCGACACACGGGCCCCACAGACACCAGCAGAATCATAGGCCTCCCTGGGAGCGGAGCACCTGAAGGTGGCTGTGGAGCCTTCTGCATCAGAATGGCTCACCTCCCCCCAAAAGCTGCTCTGCATTTAGCCAGCATCATGCCGAATCTGGGACCCAGGAGTTCCAGGCACTTCTAGCTTCTATCTCTGGTGTAACCCCCAGTTTCCCAGCCCTGCTTCATGAATGCTGGGTCTTGTTGCCACCCCATCTTCCCACTCACTTTTAGCTCAGCAATCTTGCATGGGCACATTTTCACATGGAGAGTAGTAGGGAGGAGGGGACCACAGCCATTCTGACTTGGTCACGCATCTCCCCTCCCCCTTACTTCTGTCCACTCTGCTCCCACCCACTGATTCTTATTGTTGCCTATATCTCTTTTATATTCTATGAACCCACAGCAGAGGGTGGGGACAGCCTATGTGCTATTGAGTAAATGGAAACAGCCTTCAGTACATATCCATTGATGAATAAAAGCATGCATGCATGTATGACTGACTAAATGACTGATTGAATGAATGAATGAACAAATGAGGCTGTAGTCCCTTCCTGGGGTGAAGGGCTGTGTTCTCACAG